TTTTTAATTAAATCATAACAGTGTACATGAATACTATCATGGGGTTGAGGTCAAGTTTTGAGAATGGAAACACTGATTATTGTGACAGATGCTCCTTTGCACGGGCAGCTTTGTCATCAAGAATAAAGCTGGACACTGCATGGTGGAAGGGCCAGTTCTTGAGCGCTGAGCAGCACTCTGAGACACACCTAGGGAACAAGGGTACTGGCCTTTCTGTGTAGCTCTTGGGAGTCCAGCAGTTCACTCGCAGGGTAACGTAGTGTACACAGTGCTCTGCCGACTGGTGCGGTATTGTGAACACAAGTCACTAGGAAATGTGTCCACATAGGGCCGGTGGGACACTATTCCAGGAACCTTGTACAAGTCCCACCAGGGTGTGACCTGAAGACAAATGGAGCATGTGCGGGATCTCCTGTGTGAGGACATAGTCGTTGGTCTTCTGACCGTAGACCGTTAGGCAACATGCCAGGGCCTGGAACTGCCCTTGCTGAGTTCTAAGTCACATCCTCAGCCAAGAAGGTGGCCCAGAGCGGCTGTTTTTGAAGGCATGGTGCAGACTTCATTCCTCAAGATAGTATGTTAGGGTGGGATTCAGAGAAACCAGAACCTGATTTCCTCAGGTAATAATCTACCAAATACCAGCAAGTGCCTCCTTTATCCCAGACACTAAACTGAAAAAAAAAATTGACCCCTCCTGCCACAGAAACACTAGGCACAGCTCCCACCCCCACCAGCACAGAAAGATGGGACGCAGGCCTCCTGCCCGCGCTCAAGCCCTCTGCTGACCACACTGCCCAGTTCTATTAGTCTCTGATCTGCTTAGGCCTCTCTTGCTCTGGGAAGGGAATGTGATGTCACTGCTGTCTGCTGTCAGACACACAGGGTCTCTGAGCCCATCAGGGCCTCATGCACTGACTTGTGCCAGGAGTTCACAGGGTCTCTGAGCCCATCAGGGCCTCGTGCACTCACTTGTGCCAGGAGTTCACAGGGTCTCTGATCCCATCAGGGCCTCGTGCCAGGGGTTCACAGGGTCTCTGATCCCATCAGAGCCTCGTACACACACTGACTTGTGTCAGGGGTTCACAGAATCTCTGAGCCCATCAGGGCCTCGCGCACTGACTCGTGCCAGGGATTTTTGTCCAGTGTCCTTGGGAAGCCCCATGTGTCTATGGAGGAGGGGCTGGGGCTGCCTATGGGGGAAGAACCCACTGTCCTATGGTTATGTGGATTTCCTGGCACTGCCTGTGGCCCATGCCTGCCTTCACTTTCATTGGCCAGGATCAGAGCAGGCAGGTGGACCAGCCAGATGACACCAGGCTTCAGTGGACAGTAGAGGCTGAAGGGCAGCCATGTCATACTCCATTTGTGAGCTGCCCAGACCCTTCCTCCTCACCATGGGTTCTGGCAGCAGGCAGGACATGTGAGTGTCTGACTCCTATTCTGGGGAGCACAGCCACCTTCTGCCTGGCTCTGGGCTGGGGTTACTACAATTTTGACCTTAATCACACAAAGGAAAGTTACATTTCACAGACTAATTAACTCTCAGATAAAAAGTAAATAGTAGCAGTAGGAGTTTTAGAACTTTTTTCTCGTATTGATTATCTTCTTAACCTCAGTTTCCTTATCTCTGAAGTGAAATGGTTAAGCTGTATGACCTCTAAACTTCCAGCCCCAGACTTTAATTCTTCCACATTCTTCTCACCTGCCATGCTTCTCTCCAAGTGGGGCTATGGACAGAAGCCGTGTCTACCACAACTGCTGGGTTCGTCTGGTGTTTCTTTCTTGGCCAGGACTTTGAGGCTTTCTCTCCAGTGAGGGGCAGGTCCACTCTACAGGCGGGACTGAACGTGACACTGCCCCAACTGTGGGGACTTGGAGCATCTGTGACAGCGCCTGACATGCCCAGCTGGCTGGGAAGTCATTGACTGCAGAGCCCTCTGACAGCTTCACCAGTCTTGCTTGACCACAGAGCCCTTTCTTCAGAAGGCCCATTGACACCTCAGAAGCCCTGAGATCATCTGGGAGGTGTTTGTACAGACCCCGACACTGTTCAGTATGATCATTTTAGAATTAAGTCAATTTAACAACCCCTCCAAGTTGTGTTTGAATATTTCCAGAATTTTTCAAGGTGGTACTGGGGAGTCGGTTGTATTTCATGCTGAGACATATTGACGTGTTCCCCTAAATGGGCCCTGCTGGGCTGACAGTTCAAGGGGGCCGTCCATATCTGTGACTTTCCTGTCCTATAACTTGGAGAAGAAATTTTTTCACTTGGTTTAATCGGTTTCCCAAAAATGAATTTATTGCACAGCCATCCTATCAAAACAGGGAAGCACTTTGGGAGAGAGCTCTGCAATCATAATTCTAACCAATAGTGTGTCCACTGCAGTCCCTGCGGGTACTCGCTGACCATCACAAGTCAGTGTAACTGAGCAGTGTGCAGGCTGGACTGTTGGGACAGGGCTCACTGCGTCGTTTGGCAGAGCCGGGTTTGGGTCAGTCTGTGCTACAGGCACTTGAAACACTGAGGAGATTTCTAGAAAATAGCCAGACCCAGCCAGCATGGGTGGCTGGAGAAGTGGTCTGGAGGGTGTCAGCAGCCACCCAAGGTTGGGCCTCAGATTCCTGCCCCATCTAAGCAGTGGGGAGACTTTGTAGCCAAGAAATCCTGAGGAGCCTCAGGGACCGTCTGTTGCCAGTGTGCACTGGCCTTTCCTCTGCCCCACCTAGGAAGGAAAAGCTTAGCACACTCCCGCTGCCTCCGGCAGGTGCAGACAGAAATATGTTGCGTGAGGTGGGCCCTCGCCCAGCGTTCCTCTGGCAGCCAGTTGTCCCATCCCTGTTCAGCGAAGAGCGCCTGCACCTGTCAGGGCCGCCTCACTGTGCCTGCTCCAGTGCGTTTCCTGGCTCCTGCTTTTCCACCCCCTACTTGTTTCTTCATGTGCCACAGTGACACTAGTTTAATTATAGAGGCTTCTTAGGATGTTGTCATGACTAAGGGCGTTTCTTTTCTGGGGTTTTCTCAGCTATCTTGGGGTTTGATTTTCCAGGCATATTTGGGTGTCAAATTGGCTCCATAAAGAAGCTCATTGGTGTTTTTACTTGGGATTGCCTCAAATCTATAAATCAGTGGTAATGAGAACTGACTCAATGTGTCAAGCCTCTGGTCTCCGGCAAGGGGCACCTTCTCACATATTCACACACACTTCACACCTCAGGAACAGGCTCTGCACGTTTCTGGCCCAGTGTATTTTGTTCCTAAGTACTTTTCTTCTTTGCTATTACAAACAAGGTGTCCTCTGGTCTCTGTCTCCTAACTGGTTATTACCCGTGTGTGTGAGGGTGTTAATTTCTGTATGTTCACGTTTTATCCTTGTTTTTCAGTTACTTGTTTAAATTGGCTTTATGTTCAGGTCTCTGGGCTTTTCAGTTTTGGTATCATATAATTTTCAAATCAAGATAGTTTTTCTCTTACTCTGGTGCACTGTGGCACCTCTCCCACAGTGAGTCTTGACACCTCCTCATCTGAGGGGTGTCCTCGCTGCTCCACTGAGTGAGATGCTGGCTTTAGTACTGAAGTGTATAAATGTATTTTCATCATGTTATGAATGTACAATTTTTGTTTTCTTGAGTACTTTTTAAGCAAGAATGAGTATTTTTGTGAAAAATATTTTTGTCATCTATGAGTATAATACTGTGACTTTTCGGTTTATTATGAAGTTTAGTGATGGATTTCCTAGTGTGACTTGCCCTTGCGTTCCTGACCTAGGCCCCGCCTGCCCACGGTGTGCCATCTCCTTATTGTGGGTTGTTCCTGTCTGGCAGCGTCCCACATGGCGTTTTTGCACTGGTTCCGTAAGTGATCACTTTACTGTTTGTTGGCTCTTTTTTCAGACTTGAGCCTTACGCAGACCCTTACTATGACTACGAAATAGAGCGGTTCTGGCGTGGCGGACAGTACGAGAACTTCAGGGTGCAGTACACAGAGACAGAGCCGTACCACAGTTACCGAGTGAGTACACTCAGTGCGCGGGTTCATAGGAGTCTGCTCTGCACAGAGCCTCTGCCATCAACTCAGCATCTCACTGCAGCCCACAGAGGCTGCTCGTAAGACTCACACCAATCCCATGACTATATTTGTAGCCATGTGAACAGGGATTTTCCTAAAAACTTTGTTCTTGCTATGGTGTGTTTTAAATTAGATTTCCCATCAGGTTATGTAACAACGCGAGTTTCGAGGAAGTATGTTTGCCGCATTGGCTCACACTCTTCCTTGGCTCTTCGGTGGTAACCTTTGTTATGCTTGCTCTCATCTGTTTCACTTGACTTACTAAGTTTGACCCCAAGCGCCCATCGTACCCGATTGATCTGTCAGAAGTCAGTTCTGTCCTGGATTTCTTCTGCATCACCCTGAGCCTCTGAGAGCAGAGGACGCTTAGGAACTTTCATGCTTCAGGCTGAGAGTCCCTAATCTCAGCTGCAGGTGGTTTGGAAAAGCTGCCCCAGGAGAAGACCAGGTGGAAGCAGCTGACCGGTTTTGTGCTGTGGCTGCTCGGACAGTCACAGTCGCGAGTGCTCAGGACCAGAGGGTGGTGGCTGCCCAGGACCCCACAGGGGTGAGCTGGTGGAGAGCAGAGGGCCCCATGTTGCCTGAAAGCCCCCAGCCTGATCCTCCCGTACTCCTTCATGCTGATAGCCTCCTCGTCATTCAGGCAGCCTGGAAAGAGGAGAGACCCCCAGAATCACCCCCCACCACATACCTCCTACCCTGTGTCCAAGGCTGGCAGCTAGGAGGCTGGGAGTGTGCTTGGCACTTCCCCATAGGTGGCCTAAAGCCTGAGACCTGTCAGATGCACTGATTGGACTATTTTCAGTTTTAACACTGAGTATTAGAGCAAATGAATAAGAACAGAGGGATCACTCAAAAAGGTGTTTGAAGGTTGTATCAGAAAAGCAGGAGTAGCCTTTTGGGTGCCTACTCTGTTGCAGAAGCTATTGAGGTGTTCATGGGCACCCCACCCTGGGAGGCAGCCGTTCTCTCTATCCTGCAGACAGGCAGAGGGCTGGCCTAGGCTGCACGCAGAGAGCTGCCTCTCAGTTCACACAACTGTGCTCACATAGTTCTAGGGTTTTGTTTCTTAGAGACAGGGTCTTGCTGTGTCTCCAGGCTGGAGTGTAGTGTGCATCACAGCTCACTACAGCCAAAACCCCCAGCCTTAAGCCATCTCCTGCCTTGGCCTGCCAGAGTGCTGCAGGCTGCGGTGAGGACCTGAGGTCCCCTGAAGCTAGTGGAGTGCCCTGGTGGAGCCTCTGCTCTCAGGCCATGCCAGGCTGATTTGGCATCTGCCTTTTTTTGTACTGTTCTGAGAAGCTTTGGGCCCCTCAGCACTGGAGTCTCCCTGCACCTCCCCCCACCCCGCCCTGCCCTCCCTGTCCTGCCCCCCCCCGCCCCTCCCAAGTCACACTCCCTGTGTTTGGCTCTTTGACGAAGGAGCGAGAGCGGGAGCGGGAGCGAGAGAACCGCCAGCGGGAGCGTGAGCGCGAGCGTGAGCGGGACCGGGAGCGGGAGCGGCGGCAGAGGGAACGTGAGCGCGAGCGGGAGCGCGACAAGGAGCGGCAGCGCAGGAAGGAGGAGTGGGAACGCGAGCGGGCCAAGCGCGACGAGAAGGAGAAGGACCGGCAGCACCGCGACCGTGAGCGTGACAAGGAGCGGGACAAGGACAAGGAGAAGCCCCGGCCCCGCTCCCCGCAGCCGCCAAGGTAGGCCTGGGACCCTGAGGGTGGGTGGGGCTATGCCACGCCAGGACAGGGCTTAAGGACAGACACTTGTTGGAGCAGAACCATGGTTCTCAGTTGGGAGGCAGAGAGCCAGACAGAGGGGTGCGTGTGTTTGCAGTTTTACTGAGAGAATTCACTGGTGGTGGAACCCATTTAAAGGGTTCACGCAACTGTGCTTCATAGTTCTACGGTTTTGCTTGTTTCTTAGAGACAGGGTCTTGCCGTGTCTCCAGGCTGGAGTGTAGTGTGCATCAGTGTTTTAGAATATTGAATACTTTTGTGTCCCCCAAAAGAACCCTTTTACCAGTTTGCATTACTCCCTGCTTTCCCCAGACTTCCCATCTCCTGGCAGGTCCAGTCCTGCCTGTCCCAGACACTTCACATGACCGAATCATACAGCACGAACCCTTCTGCAACTGGCCCCTTTCACTGAGAGTGATGAGTTTTTGTTTGTTTGTTTATTTTTTTTTTGATAGAGACAGAGTTTCACTTATAGCCCTCCATAGAGTGCTGTCATGTCACAGCTCACAACAACCTCTAACTCCTGGGCTTAGGTGATTCTCTTGCCTCAGCCTCCCAAGTAGCTGGGACTACAGGCGCCCACCACAACGCCCAGCCATGAGAGTGATGTTTTTAAGTTTCACCACTCTGTAGCATGTATTAACCCATCATCCTTTCTTATGGCTCAGCAGTGATTGTGTGGATAGCCCACACTGTGTTGACCCATTCACCCACTGGTGGACATTGGGTTGCTCTCACCTTTTGGCTAGTGTGAATATGAACACTTTTCTGCAAGTTTTTTGTGTGAACATAGGTCATGATCTTTCTTGAGGTTACACCTAGGAGTAGTTACTGCCCAAATGTTCTCCAAAGTGGCCACCCGTGTCGCACACCCCGCAGTGGTGTGTGAGGCCCAGGCTCCTCGTCAGTGCCTCTCTTCACTTTTCTGATTGCTGATTGCAGCTGTGTTCACTAGTGTGAAGTGGCATCTCCAAGTGGTTCTGGTCTGCATTTTCCTAGTGATGGTGGTGCTGCTGAGCATCTTTTTGTCTTTCCTTGTGTTCATTGAACGTTTGTATATCTTCTTGGGAAAATGTGTATTCAGATTGCTGGCCCATTTTTGAGTTTGTCTTTTTGTTACTGAGCTGAGAGTTCTGTGTGATGTAGGCGCACATCCCTGTGAAATGTTGGAGGTGCAGGCACACCCTCCCACGTTGTCCTTCACTTCTTAATGACGCCCTTAGAAGCACAGATTCCAGTTTGTCTACTTGTTTTGTTGCTTATGGTTTTGACGTCATCGCTAAGATGCCCTTGCCTGATCCCTCTCTGTCACAGGATCTGTTTTCACATTGATACTTCAGTCTGTGACGCAGTTGAGCTCATTACTGTGTATAGCTGCAGGAGGCCCGGCATCATTCTTTTACCTATGCATGTCCCTCTTTCCCAGCACCATTTGTTTAGTGGCCAAGGCAACCTTGTCAAAATCAAGTGACTGCGGACGTGTGGGTTCATCCAGCCATTCTGTCTTCCACTGGCATCACATGTCCTGATTGCTGTGGTTGTACTGTGCATTTGAAGTTGGGACAGATGTGTCTCTGGCCGAATTCTTTTTCAAGAGCATTTTACCTGTGCTAGGTCCTTACATTTCTATACGATTTTAGGCTCAACTTTACAAATTTTTACCCAAAAAAGGCAGCTAGGATTTTAATTGAGATACACTAAATCTGATCAATTTGGCAATATTGCTGTCTTAACAATATTGTCTGTCTTTCCTTTTTTTTATTGTTTGGGATTCATTGAAGGTACAAAGAATCTCTGGGTCTGCCTGGGGCTACACCCTCCACTGGGACCGCAGGAGCTCACCTAGCGTCTGGTCCTTTGCCCTGGGCAGGCTGTCCCACACCTCTTCTGGAGCTTTGCTCAGATCCCTCAGCTCAGAGTCAGCTCCCCTCACATTTGCCCTCCAGCCTGCTTTGTCACGCCTCTCAATGCCTCCATGCCTGGCGTTGCAGCAGCATGCACTCCAGCCCTCTGTCCTGTGCCCTACAGTCTTCAGTGCCTGACCCAGAGCCTGGCACCAGTGGAGGCTGGGTTTGGGAGAGCAGCAGCATTTTTGCCATGTGTGCCAGTCAGGTTTTGTAGGGTTGGTGACATGGAGATTGATCCCTGTGAGCAAAACTGGCTCAGGCTGCTTGGCAGATTCACAGAACGGCACTTCTGTGCCAATCCAGGAGCCTGGTCTCAGAAGCAGAGACTCAGAAGGCTGTGAACAGCCCCAGGCAGTGATGTGAGGTCAAAGGTCACTCTGCAGGTGCATGCATCCCATCAGTGTGTCCACTTTGGTGGCATAGGAACGTGTTGACTCTGGTGCAGACCCCCTTCCTCAACCCCCACTAACATATTCTGCTTGTTGCAAGAAGCTGGAGCTCTTCCACATCAAGCATCTGTGATACTCAGGTTAGAGGACAGTGGCAGGGCCCCCCTGCACCATCTGTGCAACACCACTGCAGCCACTCGTCACCCATGGAGGAACAGCTGTGCACTTTTGTGCTTCTGGGACCTCCTGGCCTCTCCGGAGGAGGATATGTTGTGAATCCAGAAAGAGTCTTTAAAGATGGTGGCCTTTATTGGCTCGGCCCCAGGCAGCAGGTGACAGATCTCCATCCAGTTTCTGGACCCTCAGTCTGCTCACTGATAGGTCCTGACAGTAGTGAAGTAGTCCTCATCAACACAGTTCTTTCAGGTCAGATCTGAGCTCATAGTCAGACATCCTCTGGATGAAATTATTTTTTCCTAAAATTAGACCCAGCTTTTATCACCAAACTGGAGAGCCAGTCTCCCCTCCTGTTTCTCACCTGGTCCATTGTCTTCCTTTCTCACCATCGTGTGCTTCTGTGCCCTTCCACGTACACGCACGCGCGCACACACACATACACACACCTGGCCTGCACCCTACAGCTGGTGGCAGGGCTGGCTCCATTCAACCTGTTTCCTGGGTGCTAAGGAGTCTTCGTTCTTGTCTCTGGTGACGGAGCCCAGCCAGGCCTACTGCCAGCCTGCACGGCAAGGGTTTCACCAGAGCAGGAACTGGCCCATTTCCTTTTCCTGTGTCAGCCCAAAATGGTGTGACCCCATCTTCTGAGCAGCTGGGTCCCCTTGCATGGTGTATGTGTAGATGTGACCTCCCTTTATGAATGGGCTAATCTTCAACAAGTTGGGATTTTTTTTTTTTGGAGTTTTTGGCCAGGGCCAGGTTTGAACCTGCCACCTCCCATATACAGGGCCGGGGCCCTACTCCTTGAGCCACAGGCGCTGCCCAGGTTGGGAATTTTAATCCTGGTGAATACAAAGAACTTTTCTCATCCTAAATAGGAGAGTGATATAATTTCATCTAGAGACAGCCACTTGCAAAGCCTTTGCCTTCACTTGCTGAGCAGAGTATCAGAGAGGGAGTCAACCCTGATAAAGTGTATCCGATCTGTGTGGTCTATAGCCAGCTCGGACTCCCACCCTGAGCACTTGTCAACCCTTGCTCCAGGAGAGGGAGGTGAAGTCGTACAGCAGAGGGCAGGAGTCTGTCTGGGTTCCTGGGCGTCCTGGGTTAGGACTCAGGACCCCTCCTGGGAAAGAGGTCCCAGACAGGATGTGCTGCCCAGATGTCTGATGGCTGGTGCTCAGCCTCATCTCTGTCCTTTGGGGGCCCCCCTTTTTATTGCCCCACCCTAACACCCTTGTTGCTGAGGCTCTTCCCCACCCACTTGAGTCCTTCTCTGCCGAGAGGCAATAAACAAACTCAGCTCCTATCCATCTCCTTTGGGACACTCTGACCAGCTGCTCCACAAACCTGGGAGGCTCATGCTATTGCTGGGGTGTGATCCTGTGCGCTCCTCATCCTGGCTGCCTTTTGAGGCCTTCTGCCTACTCCTACACGTGGGCTGTTTTCAGATTCAGACTTTTGCAGAACCTTTCAGCCAATTCTAGAAAATGCATCTGTGCGGGCAGCACCTGTGGCTCAAAGGAGTAGGGCACTGGCCCCATATGCCAGAGGTGGTGGGTTCAAACCCAGCCTCAGCCAAAAACTGCAAAAAAGAAAAAAGAAAATGCATCTGTGGAACTAGGGGGAATCCCTTTTGTGAAACTTCCTTCTGATCTTGACAGCCTGGGCCACGACCATGCTGTCAGGCTCAGGAAGATAAAGGTAACCGTTGTTCCTGGTGGAATTGCCGGGGGGGGGGGGGGGGGGGCAGCGGTTGCCACAGCACCTGCCCAGGCCCCTGTACTCTGCTCTTACAGAAGCCACCCATGGTCCTGTTGGGCTCGCGAGCAACTGTGTCCCCAGCCCGTGCACACCCCTCCAGTGCACACCTGCTCCTCAGCGGGCTGTCATGCATGCTCTGAGTTGTTTGTTGTGGGCCCCCTTCGCACTATGGTTGGAGGCGTCCCAGGAGTCCCAGGATCTTGGGCAGGGAATGGGCCAGCTGGGTAACTAGTTTCTCCAGAAGGATTTATGACCTCCCCAGAAGGGTAATAAACACAGTTTTAGATCAACCTTCTGGATAAAAGACTAGTTAGGGGCTCGGCACCTGTGGCTCAAGCGGCTAAGGCGCCAGCCACATACACCTAAGGTGGCGGGTTCTAATCCAGCCCGGGCCCGCCAAACAACACTAATGGCTGCAACCAAAAAATAGCCGGGCGTTGTGGTGGGCGCCTGTGGTCCCAGTTACTTGGGAGGCTGAGGCAAGAGACTCACTTGAGCCCAGGAGTTGGAGGTTGCTGTGAGCAGTGAAGCCATGGCACTCTACCCAGGGGCTCAGCTTGAGGCTCTGTCTCAAAAAAAAAAAAAAGACTAGTTAGGGCCAAGGATGTAAACTCTGGGTGCAAGTGCTACTATCTGTGCATGTTATGTGCTAGGACTGGTCTTGCAGACTTGATATGCCTGCGTGGCCCTCTCTCCCTGAGCTGTGGGGGAAGGTGATGGCCAC